AAATGCTTAAATGTACAGTAGAAATTATGCTTGATTCAAGCGATATTACTGTTGGTTCCAGAGAAAATCTTCTTGGTGAGAATATTAAGAATATTTATACTTTAAAGTGGTCACTTTCTTATCGGGGTAAATTATAGTCTTCGACACAAAAAGTGGCGACTGAGGAGTTTTGCACAAACGAAAAGGGAGATTTGAAGGTTTGTTAAAGCCGAAGTTAGCTGTGCTCCTCCAAGAGATCCGTGTCTGTAAAAACCGCGGTAATTTCGACAGTACACAGTTAAGCACTACTTTAGCTAGGATTTAATGCAGGTACTTTTGTTTATTCGTATATTAATGGAGTCATCGCTTTTCAAAGACCCAAGTGAATGATATCGTATGCTTGGCAAACCACCCAAGTCTGATTCTATGATAGCTTTACATGTACTTGAAACTACACAAGTAATCCTTCGACGATAAAGTTAGGATAAAATGCATTAGAATTTCTTGCCTGTGATAGAAATCTGGATGCATTGACAGAAAAAATAGTTACTCTCTCTACTAACTTATGATTTTTAAAATGTAATCCTTTTTTCGTACCGTGCGTTAAAGTCACCAGAAAACTTTTACTTGCAGGTCTGCAGTTATGGCGGTAGCTCTAAGAATTATACAAGTAATTAATTTGCAGTTCACAGAATACGTCGCACATTTTGTATTAAATTCTTTAGATCTTGCGTTCATTCGAAAGACTAATTATGAAAATAAAAGAAATCGCAAAAATAATAAAGAAAGAAATATCCGGATTGAAAAATTGGCTGAAAGGGTTGTCTTAAAAAGTCACAAATCAGTATTGTCAATTACCGGGATTCATAGTAATAAAAATAAAATTAAGATTATGTCCATCACTTTTTTAATGCGTAAAATCTTTAAATGCCTTACTGTCACCGAAAGGAGGAAAACATCCTTCAACAAGTAATTTTTCTTGCAAAACCTTTCATCTATTTCCACTTGTAAATGAATTTTAACATGTTCATCGCTTATTTCCGTGGTTATAATTGTCGTGATTCATGAGGATCAAACTTTATACTTCCTTTTCCTTTTCTTGATTCAAAATATAAAGAAAATTCTGTAGAATACCGTATATCTTATTGTGAATATTTGCGTAAGAGCCGAATTTGGCGCTTTTCTAATTGTATATCCGGCGAGAAATTTTGAAATCTTTTTCCTCTCGAGGAAATGTACGTCATAAAAATCGATCGACACTGAATTTAAACATTCACTGAAAATTATCAACAATAAATGCACCGTCAAAAGTATCAGGAATGTTTTTCTTTCTTTCTTTGACATTATATTTATAAAAGAAGACAAAAGTATGATTTTAACAAACAATTACCTAAATTAATCTCAATCTTCATCGTAAGCTAGAGACCTCGATTCAATAATTCTAGTGTGAGTGGTCACGGAACCTCATACGAAAAGTGTGATGTCAAAATTTCGGCCTAAGTCCTGAATCTTACCGACGGGCGCAGACCATTGTGGTGGCTAAAGACGGAATGCAGGTAGTATCATCTCACTTCACACCGTCCAATTCACTCGAGAATTACCCCAATTCCAAGCTGACGATCCCTCCTCTTAAGAACATTGGTTGTTAAAGCAAGGTGGCAATGCTTTACAACTTGAGAACGGGGGTTGTAACAAGCCTCGTTTACGACGCGTCAAGTAAATTCGATATTGCACCTTGATAAAGATGCATTCTCCTCGACAAAGGAATTTCAGATCCTGAGGTTCGAGCTGTCATCGGCCATTCATAAAAGACCCGAACGCCACAGACGAGTTGAAACAAGGATTGTAAACGACCATGGAACAGGTAGGCCATTGTTTGGGCCATTGAGGCCTCGGCCAGTCATTCCACGAAGAAAGCGAGCTGACAATGGCCTCAATACCTGGGACCCAGCGACTGGACGGGGTGGCCCACTACGCCAAATGTTGTGAGCGAGTACTTCAGATTTTTGGCATAGCCAACAAACGCGTGGCCAAACAAAGCGGCCATCTGATGCACGCTTTTCACGCTTTAATTAGCCTTTAGTCTCTTGTTTTCTGCGAAAACGGTTTGTTGAGGCGAAGAATGGGGGTTTTGCATACGTTTCGCACGCCACTGGAAAACTCCAGATGATTTTCCGAAGTCGACATTAATGAAAACGGGACTTCGTGAACGGAAAGATATAACGAGAATGTCTCTCTGTGTCTTTAAAACAAAAGAGATTTTTGGGATTTGAACGCTTCCGTTCACGTTTTATCTGGATGAATGGTCATTTTTTACGTCAAGGGGTAGCTATGCGGTTATATGTCATTAATTTTTGCTAACGGTTTCTGAAGCATAATGAATGGATTTTGAAAACAAATCTTTTAAGGCCGTAAACCAGTGGGAAATGATTCAAGCTCCTTTTTGAACCTTCTTTAATATTAGGCTTGTTTCTTCACATTCATACATTCAGAATGTTTCCATGTTCTTCCTTTCTTTCTATTGCATGAAAACTACGAAGTTAAAATACTGCCATTCACTCGTCGACGATAAAACTACAGAAACGCGTATTTCAAATTGCAGCGTTGCGGACTGACCTAACATGCTGCATTTTGAACGCGGAAAACTATTCAACGACATTTTTAAAAGCTTCCCTATTTTTTTTTTCCTCAGTATGAAGGATAGAGACATGATGTTCGTCTGGGCTATACTTCTTAAAAATAATATAGGAGCAAAAATTTTGAAACAATACGATGGCGGTGCCCATGTTTGCAGTTTCAACGTCTAATTTTAATTTGATCATTAATTTATAAATGATTTAAAGAGGAGTAATAACTTAAGCTCAATCAATTGCCTAGTAGATATTTTGTTGACATCGATAAAATGATGGCTTCATCCATCAATGACTATAAATAAGTTAACTATGTATTGCAGGGAGTGAAAGGGAGCATCCTTATGACAGAGTGTCCTTAAAGTTTAAGGACGAAAAGAATCAGCGCCCTGTAAATTGATAGCATTTGCAAGTCCATGGATTTCACGCTGGAAGTACAAAAGCTAATCTTTTGATTTCGGAAACTTTCCTTAGACTTTTGGAATGTCTTCAAATACCTATTGGTATTGCATTCACGATCGATTAGAAGATTCTCAATAATCAAAGCATTTCGTGAATTTTAGCGTTTTTAACACGCGAATATGACTTTTTAAATTCGATAAAAAATAAAAAGATTCCGTGATAATACTGCGGAGTGAATTTACCTTGAAATAATGCAGGTAAAGTTCTCTCAAAACATGAATGATAATTCCGTTTCTACAGAATTGATCACAGATGAACGGAGATGAAGTGATAACAATCACATTTCCAGTGATAATATTTTAAATAGAGAATGTCTAACTACAGGTTTTTGAAGCTGCACGATTCAAATGAGCAATGAAAGTCGGAGCTTTTTAGAAATTATCTATTTATAATGCCAAAACTTTGGAATTAAAAGAAATAAGAATTTGATTCTCTGATGGCCTCGATAATTTTAGTAAAAATGACATTTTTGCGAAGAAAATTATAATATTTTCCGTTTTTTTTCAACGGCATATTATTCAAACCGGCTTATAACACCTTCCATAAATACAAATAAATGAATACAATTTGTCTTCAGACCTACAAATCTATCAATATCCGATAGAAAATACGGGAATTAATGTTTTCATAAGATTCAGTTGCATTTTCCGTTCAATTTTACTCCCTAAAAAGATACATTCCCTTGAAATGATGAAACTCATTCCGTAAGAAGCTATTAAAAATTTTCGCTGCTCGAGGAAGGAAATATCAATCATATTTTGCAGTAAGATACATAAATAAGGTACAAGTTTCCAATTTAATACAGCTCCACACCGTACTTCAACAAGGTTTTTCTCTGCCTCTTTTCATGTACGTTATCAATCGAACAAATTAAAATTTCTGATACGAAGGCTCATTTTTGTTATTCTTTCAAATTTGAGTTGACAATCATTGTTCCCTCATGAATAGGTTTACCACCAGTAGCTCTAGATTTAAATGCGCGAGCCAATAAACTTTAGTCAGTGTTGTTAACGTTTAAAATAGAACGATCAGAGACTTGCTTCGCATTTTTATACCTTTTGTATTTCACACTATGATCTCAGATCTTTAATCTGAAGAACTCAATGCTATTATTTTACGTTATAGGTATTATATTAGAATATGTATTATTCTTTGATCTAACACTTCATACTCATTTACGAGTGTTAAACGAGAGATACCTAATGGATGTTTTAGCGCTCTCTTCGCATCCGTGCGGGCAGGTTTTTATTAATGTGCTCATTTTGTTTTGTTTTGTGTATTAACGCAATTTTGATCCAGGTTCAACTATTATAAGCAACTTACATCATATCAGCAGTTATTAGAAATGACGAGTCTTCATATGCACTGTAAAAATTGAAAGCGCAAATAAGTGTATTAATTTGAGAATTGTGTTCCAAAATACAACCAAAACTTGAAATATGTTGCCGCAATTTTTGAGATAAGGTTTCGTTGTTGAATGTAAAATCATGCAATACCAAAACAGCAGAGTGTTGCAGACGATAAAATATTTGTAGAAGAGAATGCCCGGATAATTAGTGGCTCAATGCACAGAATATCGACAGCTTTTTTCCCATAATGGATATATAACTGTCTAAACGTCAGAAGTTAATCATGCTTACGAACGAATTCCTATGGAATCTCGTAGATTATGCAATGCATAGATCGCCAAACTTGAATTTAAAAATTTTGCATTTTTGTAAACGAACCGAAACAAAAGCTCATCCTATTAAATCATAAATGATAACACTCACAACCTCACCGTCTATCATCAAATATCAGCAGGCCGCAAGTTTTTACGATAAGAAGTGCGCACCAGTTCTGCATCATGGCATTTTGATCGGAATTCGTTCGTAATATGACCGCAAAGCAAGAGCATTGCTTCGTTTGATAAGCCAAACTTGTACTTACATATAAGTGAGTCGCTTATGTTGTCAATCACAAACTACCCAAATAACTTGACACACTTAATACTGGAAAGAACACGGAAACTAAGTTCGCTAATGAATCCAGCCCGCTCGATCTTCGGGGAGAAATTTCAAACTCGGCACACTGAACAGTATTCCAAAATCAGAGCACTTGAGACACAAGAAACACACCACAGATCCGTGGAAAGCACCAGGGAGAAACGGCGAACACAAGGCACACAAGGTAAGGCAGGGTCGGTTTCGGGCGCGGACTAGGAGTGGAACAGAGGCGCGTGGTCGCGACACGGAGCTACATCCATGACTGAGCTTGGAGCGGGCCGGCGGGCGCGAACTGGTCTGCGGATCGGGATGTTGGATGGGCCGGGTCGCCCGTCGCATCAACGGATAGGACAGCCAACTAGCAAGCAGACTCCGGCCCGCTCATGATCATCATCTTTTGCCCCGAGTTCCCCGGCTGCATCGCGAGGCGAGGGCCGCGGTCCAAGGGTTACTTTCTTCACACCGTCCGACTCCAAGGACCGTCCTTACAGTCCTTCTTCTAAAAGCTCTTTTATCGCGAAAGTTCACTGGGAAAAAACACGTTGGATCTTGAAGATCTCTTGAAAACATTGACAAGAAAAAGGACTCTTGATTCAATCAGATTTAAGCTTAAATCAAAAGGAAATCCGCTCAAATTAAGAGGCTTGGTTCTTGATTTAAGCTTAAATCTGATTGAATCAAGAGTCCTTTTTCTTGTCAATGTTTTCAAGAGTCTGGACTCTAGATCCCATTTGTTTTTTTTCCCAGTGCGTGAAAGTTTCCTCTTAACGCCACTGAATTCTATGTCTCCAAATAATTAAAAAAAATTAAAAGAGAAAATTTATTTCTTACACAGGTCCTGATTTACCTGATTATCTGGTTCCCTGATTTTTGGAGGAAGAAGAATCGACCCGGAGGTGATTTGCAAAGGCCATGCTGGCAATTTCCCTTCAATTTTCGAGATAGGCCACACCAAGCAACTGAAAACGTTGTCCTCACAGTCGCTCTTCAAACTTTTCTTTTGTCATCAAATGCACTCAGAGGCTACTGAATCCTATTCCTCAAAATTTAAAATAAAAATTTAATAAATGCATTTTTTCCACAGGTCCTGATTCCCTGATTACCTGGTTATCTGCTTGTTAGAGGAAGAAGAATCAACTCAGAGGTGATATGTGAATGTTATGCATACTATGTCAATTTCCCTTCAATTTTCGAAGTATGCAACACCAGGCAACTCTAAAGGCCGCCCTCGCAGTCGTTCTTCCAACAGCTCTTATACTATCAACTTTTCCACTTGAACGTCACTGCTGCATCCGTTCCTTAAAAATTTAAAAAAAATTGTTTAAAAACACGCATTTCTTGTACAGGTCCTGATTTATCTGATCATCTGGCTCTCTGATTTTTAGAGGAAGAATAGCCGACACGAGGGTGATACGCAACGGTCATACTGTCAATTCCCCTTCAATTTTCGAGGTTGGCCACACCGAGCAACTCAAAACACTGTGCTCACAGTCGTTCTTCAAACAGCTCTTTTATCAACATCTTTTCCACTTAGAAGCCACTGAATCCTATTTCTCAAAAAAAAAAAAAAAAAAAAAAATTTCAAAAATAAAAAATGCAGTTCTTGAATAGATCCTGATTTACCTGATCATCTGGCTCCCTGATTTTTAGAGAAAGAAAAGTCGACACAGGGGTGATGGGTGAAGGTTATGCATACTGTCATTTTCCCTTCAATTTTCGAAGTAGGCTACGATATACATCCTCATCCTCCGTTTAGCAATAGTCATATTTTCTAAGATTATATAGCGTTTTGTACTGTCCACAAATCTTGCCTTGTAGTGAATGACGATAAACTCGAAGATTTTAAAGTTATTTTCTTTTTTTCTATTTAAACCTCAATGGTGAGAATAATATGATTTAAATATTTATGTAAGAAAATGGAATTCCGTCCGAGGAAATCTTTTTTCGTAACGGCTAGCAATCTTCTAAGAAATCTGAATACGTTCGAAGAGTCTTGGATGATTATTGACAATATTACGAAGAACGGATGGTTCCTTTGGTGAAATTTGCGTTTTGGACGCGACTTAGCGCAGAAGCTCGCCGAAATGAAAAGGAGGAGATAATGGCTCAGGCTCAAATATCGGTAAAATGGTCATCCCTCATTAATTGCAGCAAGACCGAATAATTAATTATACACCAAGCAATGTAAACCTCAAACAAAAACTCTCTGTGCTTAGCAAAAGAGTAACTATCAAAGGTTATTTATAGTGAAATATTCATCTAACGCATTTAAAATATGCTTAGATAGATGAAAATGGCTACAGTATACAGTTTTTAACGGTCAGTACAGGAATGAACCGCGGGAACTAAGTTATTGGTGAATAAGGAAGCGTGGAAGGAGGAATTGAAAGGTGGGATTTCGTGTAATTAAAACGGATAGAAAGAGGGGGGAGTGTATGGGAGGAGTTATTCTTGTCTGCACGCATGCTTCACTGTTGTGTCAGTGAAGTTCAAAAAAACTCCTTACTTTGCGGATTTTTTCTGAATTCTAATGATAATGTAAGTTTTATTGGCAACGAGCATATTTTCAATCCGATTGGATGAGTTTTCAACATTACCAGCGTATAAATGGAGGATATCTATGTGTCCCCGTGAGAGATTGACTCGGAGACTTTAACGCTCGGATAGAAAGATAGACGCATGAAATCTCAGGAGTTTACTGTAACGGAGATACACAAAACTTTGGTTATTTCTTTTGTCGGCGTACACATGGAGGATCTCTATGTGTCTCGGTGAGAGACTGACTCAGAGATTTTAACGCTCGGGTAGAAAGGTAGACGCATGCAATCTCAGGATTTTACCGCAACGGAGATACACAAAACTTTGGTTATTTCTTTTGCCGGCGCACAAATGGAGGATCTCTGCGTACCTCGTCTAAAATGGGGCAACGTCTGAAGGCTCATACGGCGTTCTTCCATAGCACGGTAATTTGCGGGTTAATTCGAACTGCAGCCATGGGCCGATTGTGGGTTTAATAGTATTGATTTTGAGTAAAATTGCCGATGCTTTCTGAATTTGATAGAGTAATTAAAAAATTTTGTGACATCCGTGAGGTCGGGGGTATCAGAAAATTTTGATAGCTTTAGCGGGAAAGGCAGATATAACTGGATAAGGGGAAGGAGATGGTCCGGACAGCTATCTTTCCGCAGCTTTCGTTTCTCGGCTGCGACTTCGAGCTGGGCTGGATTTTGCGGCGTAATATAACATCCGACCGGATTAAAATTCTCCAACAGGCTGTTCGTTAATTGAATCGGTCGATTATAAAACCTGGTGGGTCGGAATTTCGGGTGAGCCAAGATATACAAACACCTTTATGTATTTTGAGACTCATCAGGTAATCAGTATATTGGGTCTAGCATTAGAATTCATTTAAATACAGCTTTCCCCAGACGTGTTCTAGCAGAAAAAAAATGCGCAGGGTCTAACATGTTTGCTAAATTCGTCATTTTAATGTGCTTCTTGGACGCAGCAGCTGCTCAGGGTGTAAAAATAAAGTCGCGAGACTGCCCTTTGGATCCGGAAAGTTATTGATATCGAGAGAGAAAAGACCTCCTCAAATGATCGAATGTGCCCATATACGATTTCCGAATGAAACAAAAAGGACATTTGTATGAGACTCACTGATTTACCTTATGAGAGGGCGCGGATGGTAAAAAAAGTAACTTTAGTTTTTCATCCATTCCTGTCAGCTATTAAACCTGCCAAACCTGACAAATTATTACCACCTTGACGAACTTTAATCCCCAATTTTACTTAAACCTGTTTGGTGCCTTCATCGGCTCATTCATTTCATCGGCGGATCCAGCGAATTGGCAACATTGTTTTTTCTCCATTTAAACCTATGGAAATGTATCGATTTTTGGAGAGGCCAGGTTCTCCAACAAAAATCGATTATTTAACATAGGTTTAAATACAGGAAATGAGGTGTTGCAAAATTGCTGGAGCCGCCTCTGATTCATTTTCTCCTCATCATCGACACGAAGCATAAGCGAAAGAGCAACTATTCAAATTCCTTGACGAGCCTTAAAGAGAGGGACTGATTATATTGTTACAATCAACCCGAAAATGACACTGGAGCCCGCCGGTGCTATTTGATAAGGGTTGAAAATATTTTGAAATGAAATACCACTTAACTTGAATACACCGAGAATTTCAAACAATTAATCTTTAAACGTAAACCGTCATTTTTTATCAATCCATTGTTACGATATACTTCTACATATAATCAAAACTGTTGTTATATCAGAATTTTTTTTACTTAATGTTCGGCATATTCTTGAAAAAAATGGATTACATATTTTTTTTTGGGTATGCCATGAGGCTCGGATAAAATTGCAGTTGCTTCCATAAGTAACTCGAATATAATTTTTTAATAGTCAGGTATCGTATCAACATTAAAAAACTACCACTGGATAAATTTTGCAATGATCTTTCAAGGCATGCATATTAAAATATTAAGATGTTCGTCCTCCTGTAAAGAAAAGGTAACTTTCAGATTCAAATACGTCTCAGCCACTCGCAGTAATATGATTTAGTACCTACTACAGTAGGTTGTCTACAAAATTAGCAGGACATATCTTACAATACGATTTCGCAAAAATTGAATGAGCAAATACAATTGGATTGCATTTTGCAAAAAGGAACCACTAGCATTGCAATGATGCTAAGATTGTGCAACTTCATCCTTTGCAATAAAATTGCGGAAATTGTGAAAAACTATAAAATGTAGATGGTAATTTTTGTCTTAAATTTACAGTTTTTAGCGAGTAAAATAGAAACTATTAAGGGATAATCGGGTTTTTCCTCCAAGACAAAAGAAGTTGCACAATCTTAGCAACATTGCAATGCTAGTGGTTCCTTTTTGCAAAATACAATCCAATTTTCAGTGTAAATAGTGTTCATAAAGCCTGATCTAATTGAAGTAGTTCGTGTTATCACAACTCAAAAGGCTCTGAAACATTCTTCTACTGAAGCGTTGAGGAACAAGGAAAGTTTTAATGATTTAATAGCTCGCATTTTTATAATTTCGAATGTGCGGTTGCATTCTATTGGATGTGACGAAAGTCGTATTTCATGTCACAGCAGATTTGAATTCAATCCTAATGTGCAGTCATTTAGGCTTCGACCTTAAAAGATGTATAAGGAAAGAAATGCAAAAATGCAGACCATCAGCGTAATTTTGAGAATCCGCCCGTCCTCTTTTCGTGCGTACTCTAACTACTCCACCGTATAAAGCCCCATGCTCACTATCAA